CTGGCAGGGTGGGGCGCGGCAGAGGGGAGGATGAGCCTCTCAACCTGCAGTTCTAGGGCGTACAGGAAGGGGCCGGGCGTGTCCCGAGTTCCCACCACCTGACACCAATTTTAAATTTTCCGAGCATTGCCTGTGGGCTTCATGCGGGAAAATAGAAACAAAATAGCTATGAAATCAAGCCAGCCATGTTCTTCTGGATTGTAACGGTTTAGATTTTTCTTAAACATATTAATAAGATGATCAGTTTTTAAATGAGGGAGGTTGCAGAAATACACTGGCCTGGGTAAAAAGCACATCTTGATTACCACATAGGCGTGGAGTGGCCTCAATACCAAGTGTTGGCAAGGACCCGCAGCAACCAGGCTCACATCTGCGGCTCGTGGGGTGCCAACAGTGCCATCATTTTGGAAAACTCTTCTAATCTTGTCCTTTGATCCAGGAATTCCTCCCAGGAATTTACAAAAATGCTTACCATAAATACAGCAGCTTTAATTTTAGAGGTCAAAAACACCTTAGTATGTTGCGAGCCGGCGACGCAGAGCACTGTCCAGCAGTGTCTCAAACCTGAAAGAGGGGCGGAGATGGGGCAGAGAGAAAGCAAGGACGCCAAGACAAGAGTCTGATCAAGGCGACGTTTATTGCAGGCAGGCATCAGCCTTTTAAAGGAAAAGACCAAACTATTATGGGCTAGGATTACCATAGTAACCTCAAAACCCGCTCCACGGGAAGGAGGGCTCACACGGGAAAGAGAAAGCAGGCTCAAGAAAAACAAATTAACAACACTTGCAACTAATAATCATGATTCCCAAATAGGTGGAGGAACTTAACAAAATGAAGTTACAACACCTGACTCCTACAGATAACTTCAGATCTTTAACAGGAAGCACCTGACTCCTACAGATCTTTGGCTGTCCGAGTTTCTCCCGTGCAGGGTCAAAAACAAGATTAACACGTGCAGTCCTTAAAAAGGAACAAATGTTATCTTTCAAAAAGCCAGTGGGCCATGGCTGGCTTCCCACACTAATACCCATGGTCTGGTGATTGAATAAACTTGGGACCTACTCGTGCAATGTAATGAATACTAATTATCAATAAACAGGAATCAACTAGTTTGACATGCAACAAGAATAAATCGAAAAATTCACTGAGAAAAAAGACCCACAAAATATGATTCTATTTACATGAAATTTAAAAATGGCAGATCTTACGTATAGTGACAAAATAAATCAATATCTGCTTGCGGGGGTCAGGAAACCTAGATTGGATAGAGCTTGGTGACGAGGTAATGGAAATGTCTGCATCTTGATTGTAGAGATGGTGATGGGAGTTAGTTCATTTATTAAGATTAGCTGAAAGTACAAAGTATGCATTTTATTGTCTCTGTCAAGCTCAGTAGTTAATTTTATAAAAATAAAAAGTGCCCCAAAGCAGGCATTGTGGTGCATACAGGTAATCCCAGCCCCGGGGACGCGAAGGTAGGAAATCACTGGGAGCTGCAGGCCAGCTGAGCCACATAGTTCACACCAGCCTAAACTACATAGGGAGACTATCTCAAAACACAAAACAAAGCGCCCATTAAGTAAAACAGCAGATGGCAAAACAATATAATGGCATTGCCAATTATTTATTTTCAAAAATGCATTAATGTATACAGATGTCAAGACATTTAGAATGATATTAACTGTTTTAATCTGTTTTGAGGAATAAGATGCTAAGCACATTTTTTAAGAGAATTTTTTTACTTCTATTATAAAATGTAATTGGAGTATATTAAGGTTTGCTGTGAGTGATGAATATGTAAATTAACCTGATTGTAGTAATTATTTTGCAACATATAGGTATCTCATAACATGATTTTTGTTTGTTTTGAGAGAGGGTCTTGCTTTGTAGTTCAAAACTCAAAGTGATCCTCCTGCCTCAGCCTCCCAAGTGCTGGATTACAGGCATATGCCACCACACCCGGCTCCTTAAACATGACAGTTTGCACATTAAAATAACATGTATATATACAATTATTTTTTTCTAGTATGACTGTGTACTGATTAGTTCTCGGAAAAGACAGTCACCCTACTTCACTGAAGGAATGTATTATAATTTTTTCAATTAATTCTCTGTTGACAAATATTTAGGTTGTTTTTAGGCTTTCACTGTTAGGAAACTGCTGTCACACATAGCTGTGTGTGTAGGCCTTGTCAATTGAGAGAAACACAAACAGGTTAAATGGAAACAAAAGCAGGTTGTACTTGAGAATAGCTTTGCAATAGGGACGGCAAGGCATTATAATGGGAATATTTGTGTCGTAGTCTACTGTGGGCAGCAATCTCTGACCACTGACTAATAATGGGGCAGTATCAGCAAAGACTGAAGAGACAGTTGTTGGGTAATTGTCCTCTCAGAAGTATTCTCACTATTTTTGTACACATTTAATTTTTTTCATAATAAAAGTTTTCCAAAAGAGAAAACATTTCTGAACATATTGACTTTATCTCACTGAAGGTAAATATGGTCATGACTCTGTGATATTACCATTGTCCCAGCATGAAACATGGCAACAAGGTATGGTGATACAGAATAAAACATTTTGTTTTGAAAAACAGATTAAAAAGTGTTATATTATCTTTCCTTAAATGTTAAGGAAACAGTTACTACTCAGTGACTTAAATTCTTTTAGTGTTTTTATAATTACTACAACAACTATTTGTGATATTTGTCAAATAACCACTGTATCCTTCAGTAGAAAAAAAATTAAAGTATCAAAATTCCCCACAATCCCATGCTCAGAAATGATCTTTGTTCATTCATACTATTCATTTATTTTCCATGCATACATCTGATTTATTTTAACAATGGCTTTTTGCTACATTTATTACCTTGCATTCTATTTAACTTTAAAATGGATTGTGAAAGGCTGGGGATGTAGCTCAACAGCCCCAGACCTGCCTGGCAAGCTCAAAATCCTGAGTTAGATTACTGGTACTAATAAAAAAAAAAAATTGTGAAAATCTTACGTTAGTAAAATCACTCTGGAATACTGAGACACACTACTTTTTACTTAGACACACTCATTTTGGTTGTTTTTTTAATCTAACTAAGGTTATTTCTCCTTTTTAGTTTCTGGTCTTGTCAATTTTTTTCTCACCAATCTCTAACTCATAAAATTTATCCCATTTACTTTTTTTAACAGCTATATGGTTCTCTCCTAATTTCATAAGATTTGTTGGTTCTTTTAATTATATCACTCATTTAATAAAGAGATATTAATAATACCTCTTCCTACAGGTTTTAGTTATAAAATATTGCCATTTCCATTGATTTCTTCACTTCATCTCTCTTAATTTCTCCCATGACCCAAAGGTTATTTAAAACTTCAAAGGTCATTATCATATTAAGTATTTTTAATTTTACTGGACAGTAACTAATGTCCTAATGGCCTGAAACTTCATGATATATATGCTAAAGCACAAGTATATTTTCCTTCATTTTGCTAGGCAGCAAGTAAGTGGACCCTTTAAATATGAAAATACACACTTTTTCGTTCTAGGAAATTTCTTTAAATTATTTTTTATTATGTCTTCTCACCTTTTTCCATAGCTCTCAATTTCTAGGAATCTTAGTAGATTTCAGATGTAAAATTTCCTTAACTTATCCTTCAGTTTTTTTCTCTATTTTAAATATGTGTGTTTTGCTTTATTTGCTGGTTTTTTTTATTTTATCTTCTAAATTTCATACCAACTTTTTTGGCTATTACTTTTTTAATTTTCAAGTGCTCTTTTTTATTTTCTTCTGATATAATACAACATTTTGCTTTCCATTATGGATTATCTCCTCATGTTTACGATAACATTAATCATTTTCTCTTCCTGCCTGTTTTATTTCATCTAAGCTTTGGCTCTAATTGCAGTTATCCTTTGGTATTCATGGGATTGGTTCCAAGACCCCTATAGATGACAAAATCTGCTCAAGTGGCTTCTATAAAATTATGTACTTTTTTTCATATAACCAACACAATCCTCCTATATACTTTAAGTCATCTCTACATTACTCATAATGACTAATACAATGTAAATGCCGTGTAGAAAGCAATTATACTATAGTGTTTAGGGAATAATGTCCCAAAAAAGTCATGTTTTTGTTTTGTTTTGTTTTGTTTTTTGAAACTGGGTCTCACTATGTAGTTCAGGGTGGCCTTGAACTTACTATGTAGCTCAGGCTGGCCTCAAACGTGTAGTGATCTTTCTGCCTGAGCCTCCTGAGTGCTGGGATTACAGGTGTACACCACCACTCCCTCCTAAAGTCAGTTGAGAGTTTTTCTTTTCTGGATATTTTTAATCCTTAATTGGTTGAATCCATGGACGCAGCACCCATGGATATG